ATACAATATTCTGTCTGTGTGTATGCCTGAAGGCCAGAAGAGGGCACCAGACCCCATTACAGATGGTTGTGAGCCACCATGTGGTTGCTGGGAATTGAACTCAGGACCTTTGGAAGAGCAGCCAGTGCTCTTAACTTCTGAGCCATCTCTCCAGTCCTTAAACTGATTTCTTATAGGCTTTATTCAGAAAGTGATCTGTTAAAAAGTACTCTGCAGTTGGCTTTTGGGGAAATGCAGCTTTTTAAACTTGAGCATTGAAGAACAGTTACTTTTGTGTATGTAGGTTCTGCATCTATGCTTCCAGAACCTAACAACCAGCTGTGGATTAAAAATACGAGAAAAAAATGGGCATGGTAGCAAACCCTCAGTCCCAGCCCTTGAGCAGGGTACAGGTAGAGCTCTGTGAGTACAAACCCAGTCTGGTCTACATAGTCAGTTTCCGAACAACCAGAACTACACAGAGAGACACTGTCTCAAACAACACACTAAGGAGGAGAGAAAGATAGATAGATAGATAGATAGATAGATAGATAGATAGATAGATAGATAGATAGATGACAGATAGATGATAGATAGATAGATACATAGATACATAGATAGATACATAGATAGATAGATACATAGATAGATAGATACATAGATAGGTAGATAATAGATAGGAGAGAATACTATACTGTATAAACTTTTGCCCTTATCACTATTATTTTTCTTTCTGTTTTTAAAATTTGCTCATTTTATGTTTGTGGATGTTGTGTCTGCATATATGTCTGTGTACCAAGAGGATATCTAATGCCACAAGAGGGCACCAGATCTCCTGGGACTGGAGTTAGGGAGCCACCATGTGTGTGCTGGGAATGAAAGCTGGCTCTTCTGCAAGAGCAGCCAGTACTCTTAATGACTGAACCGTATCTCCAGCCCCACCCCAACCCTGTTACAATGCTTTTTTTAAAATTTTTATTTATTTATATGTGTGTTCTGCTTGTAAACTTGCATGCCAGAAGAGGGCATCAGATCCTATTACAGATAGTTGTGAGACACCATGTGGTTGCTGAGAATTGAACTCAGAATCTCTGGACAGTGCTCTTAACTGCTGAGCCATCTTTCCAGTCCCCGTAACTATTCTTAAAAATAGAGGTTATCCTCGTTTGTATAGTGGTGAAAAAAGAGAGAGTTTAACAATAATATATATACTATTTATATTTTTTGTTAGGCATGAAAAATGATAGATAAATTATTTAAAATATAAGAGGATACTTGTAGGTTATTTGAAAATACTATCTATTTTATATAAGAAACTTGAGCGTTGAAAATTTAGCTTTTGTCGAGCTTAGTGGCACTCGCCCCTTTATTTCCAGCACTCAGGATGGAGAGGCCGGCAGATCTCTGAGTTCAAGGCCAGCCTGGCCTACACAGTGAGTTCCGGGACAGCCAGAGCCACATAGCTAGACTCTGTCTCAAAGAAAGGAAGGAAGGAAGAAAACTGAAGTTCCCTTGAAGGGTTTTGAAACTAATGTTTGACTAGTAATGAAGGACAGCAGCACACAGAAATAGTGACCCTAGACTGGCTGTGGGGCATGTGCCGAGGTGGGGTGGGTCAGGAGCTATACCGTAGTCTTGAAAATGTGACACAAACATATGAGTAAGTTTTCTATAGTGTCATCCTTAACCACATAGTAAATAGAAGACCACTCTGGACAACACGATAACCTAACTCCAAAAGAAATGTGATCATAGTATTTTTAAGTAAGTTTTTATGCTTTAAGAACTATCAGTAATGAGATAGGAAGTATAAATTTATCATTTAATATGTGTTTAGTCATAATCTTTTATAGAAGTGATTCTTTTGTTTGTTTTAGATTTATTTTTATTATTTTATGTGTGTGTGTGAGTGTTCTGCCTTCAGATACATCTGTGCACCCCATGTATACCTAGTGCCTGAGGAGTGGTGAACCATGTGGGTACTGGAAATCGAACTTGTGTCCTTTGCAAGAACAAGAGTTCTTAGCCACTGAGCCAGCTCTTCAGTCCCTATAGAAGAGATTTTTGGTTTTTCAAGACAGGGTTTCTCTGTGTAGCCCTGGCTGTCTTGGAACTCACTCAGTAGACCAGGCTGGTCTTGAACTCAGAAGTCCATTTGCCTCTGCCTCCTGAGTGCTGGGATTAAAGGCGTGCACCACCACCACTCGACTTAGAAGAGATTCTTTTTTATTTTTATTGAGCTCTACATTTTTCTCTGCTCCCCTCTCTGCCTCTCCTTTCTCCTTCAACCGTTTCCCAAGGTCCCCATGCTCCCAATTTACTCAGGAGATCTTGTTTTTTTCTACTTCCCATGTGTATTAGATTTATGTATGTCTCAGGGTCCTCATTGTTGTCTAGGTTCTCTGGAATTGTGATTTGTAGGCTGGTTTTCTTTGCTTTCTGTTTAAAAACCACTTATGAGTGAGTATATATGATCATTGTCTTTCTGGGTCTGGGTTACCTCACTCAAAATGATGTTTTCTAGCTCGATCCATTTGCCTGAAAATTTCAAGATGTTATTTTTTTCTGCTGTGTAGTACTCCATTGTGTAAATGTACCACATTTTCCTTATCCATTCTTCAGTCGAGGAACATTTGGGTTGTTTCCAGGTTCTGGCTATGACAAAAAGTGCTGTTATGAACATAGTTGAGCACATGTTCTTGTGGCACGGTTAAACATCCTTTGGATATATACCCAAAAGTGGTATTGCTGGGTCTTGAGGAAGATTGTTTCCTAATTTTCTGAGAAATCGCCACACTGATATCCAAAGGTGCTGTACCAGCTTGCACTCCCACCAGCAATGCAGGAGTGTTCCCTTTACCCCACAACCTCTCCAGCATAAGTTGTCATCAGTGTTTTTGATTTTGGTGTAAGATGGAATCTCAGAGTTGTTTTGATTTGCATTTCTCTGGTGAC